TTGGGAACAAAGAAAAATTATACTCTTCTTGTCACATAGAGAGAGAGAGAGAGAGAGAGAGAGAGAGAGAGAGAGAGAGAGAGAGAGAGAGAGAGAGAGAGAGAGAGAGAGAGAGAGAGAGAGACAGACAGACAGACAGACAGGCATGCTGGCAGGCAGGCAGGCAGACAGAGACAGACAGACAGACAGACAGACAGACAGACCGACAGACAGACAGACAGACAGACAGACAGACAGAGAAATACAAAGGAGCAAAATGTTCATATATTTTTACCAAAAAATATCTAGCAAAATTGAACACAAACATTTCAATGTCCTAAAATATTTTTAACTTGCTGATATCAAAATAACAGCTCATTTATGATTGTCATTTTTCATTGCCTGTTCTACTCAAACCAGGCTTTATTCTAAATTCTTTCACAACACTTATGGTAAATGGTCACGGAGGATGCCAGATTTCATCAGAATGCTTTGACCAAATGTAAAAATAAGAGAATATATAGCGCAATGTCTGGGACCCATTCGCATGTTGTTTTGGACCGAAGGAGTAAAAAAAAAGGCCAGGTGTAATCTTACGGTTACACCCAGTATTGGTTCTGGGGGCCACTTTGGGGAACAAAGAACCGACCCACTGTTAGTTAACATTCCTCTTGGACAACTACAGCAAAATCTTCTGGGATTAAGTGAGATATGGAATTCATGACACCAGCAGCTGGCTCAATGGTTAGAGCTGGGCTATCATGCAGACATGCAGAAGACTTGGGTTCAAATCCTAGAAAAGAAGGTGGAAATTTTGTCTGTTGTGGAATTATTACTGGGAAAGGGTGGGGTGGGGGTGGGGGGGGGGGGGGGATCTTTATTCACCTACACAGTTTTGGTGACTGCACTAGCCATGCAACCCTATATACAGGCTCAAATTCCTCTCCCCCCTCACCCCCCCCCCTTTTGCACTCCCAATAAAATCACTGACACTGCAGTAAACATAGACAGTAATGACAGTTATTCTATCACACAGTCGTTAAAACTAAATACTATGGAACGAATGATATGTGTTATTTCATCATACTGTCATTCAAACTAAACATGAGGGAATTAATGAGGGGTATTGTTTCCACCCAGGAGTCACCGTGGTGTAGCAGCTAGAGGCTCGCCTGCAGATCGGAAGGTCAAGGGTTCGGGTCCTCAAAAATGACCTTGGCTCCCAGGTCAACCCAGCCTTAAGTGAGTACCAGGTTCAGTCCTGGGAAGTAGAGGCAGCTGGCGTGATGCTGATGGCATCACTCACCAAGTGCCAAATGATCTATATAATATATGCCCAATATGACTGAAGATGTGGAAATGGTTACTTTACCCTTTTCAGCAAAACTGAACTTTCAAACTCAATGTTAAGAAACTAGTCATATTCAGTGTCATTAAAACTATGCTAGGAATTCATCCAGGATGGCTATTAGACTAGCGAGGTGTCAGATTCCATTAGAATGTCACAACTCAAGGTTTAAATATTAACACAGATATTCTGTTACTATTTTAAAACATAATGTTACATGGTAAATGATTCATCAAGCCCCATTATAATGTAATTAAAACTCAATGTTACATGGCAAATGAGAAGTATCAATCTGTTACAATGCCACTGCTACACAGTAAATAAGAAATGGCACAATTTTACACTGTAAATGAAAACTGGTATACCATCAGAATGTAATTAAACATAAGTAAATGAGAAGTGGCACTTGGTCACAATTTTACAAAGTGGCACTTCGTCACAATTTTACATGGTAAATGAGAAGTGGTACTAGTCGTCACAATTTTACATGGTAAATGAGAAGTGGTACACCGTCATATTGTCCTTAACATACTGTAGCATGAAAAATGAGAATGGTATGCTGTCAGAATGTCATTACACACATATATGTTACATGGTAAATGAGAATTGGTAACTCATAACACATTTATTAAAATGTGACAAAGTAAAAGAGAAGTACTCCTGCACCATGTGTGCTCCTGCACCATGTGTGCTCCTGCACCATGCGTGCTCCTGCACCATGTGTGCTCCTGCACCATATGTGCTCCTGCACCATGCGTGCTCCTGCACCATGCGTGCTCCTGCACCATGTGTGCTCCTGCACCATATGTGCTCCTGCACCATGCGTGCTCCTGCACCATGCGTGCTCCTGCACCATGTGTGCTCCTGCACCATGTGTCCTCCTGCACCATGCGTGCTCCTGCACCATGCGTGCTCCTGCACCATGTGTCCTCCTGCACCATGCGTGCTCCTGCACCATGTGTCCTCCTGCACCATGCGTGCTCCTGCACCATGTGTGCTCCTGCACCATATGTGCTCCTGCACCATGTGTGCTCCTGCACCATGTGTGCTCCTGCACCATATGTGCTCCTGCACCATGCGTGCTCCTGCACCATGCGTGCTCCTGCACCATGCGTGCTCCTGCACCATATGTGCTCCTGCACCATATGTGCTCCTGCACCATGTGTGCTCCTGCACCATGTGTGCTCCTGCACCATGTGTGCTCCTGCACCATGCGTGCTCCTGCACCATGTGTGCTCCTGCACCATGTGTGCTCCTGCACCATGTGTGCTCCTGCACCATGCGTGCTCCTGCACCATGTGTGCTCCTGCACCATGTGTGCTCCTGCACCATGCGTGCTCCTGCACCATGTGTGCTCCTGCACCATGTGTGCTCCTGCACCATGTGTGCTCCTGTACCATGTGTGCTCCTGCACCATGTGTGCTCCTGCACCATGTTTGCTCCTGCACCATGTCTAAAAACAGAACTCATACAAGTGCATAAAGTAATTATGCTGCTAATGTTAAAAACTGGACAGGAATCAACTAAAAGAATGGCAATGCATATTATTTTTGTCTAAAGCGGACCTGGAAAATTTCTCCCACAAAAAATGTTCCACAGAGAAGACAAATGATCAACAAATCTCTTCTTTTTTTCTTTTTTTGCGCCCTAAATATCTTGGGGGGGGGGGGGGGGGGGTGGTAGTGGACCTGTTTCTTCTTGTACTTTCATGTAAAAAATAAAATCATCTGTATGAATAATTCTTAAGAACTCTTAGCCTAAGAAACTTTACGAGAAGAATAACATTTAGAGGCTGGATCATTTTTTCCCTAAATATCAACGAGGCCAAGCCTCCAGATGACAGAGGCAGGTGTCTTCCCTTATCTAGTTATGTCACGTCAACTAAAACAAATTGTTCAATTACTTTTCCAGTCAATAAATGTGTAAACCACAAACAGGCTTATTTTTATGTTAAGGGAAGTAATCACTAGATTGGTTATTTGCCTATCCTTTATAGGACGTTGCAGAGCCAACCCCAACAGCCCCTGGCTGTTGATGTTTTTCTAGGCAAATTTACGTCCAGTAGTTTGCCATTGCTTTCTGGGTGGTCGGCTTTCTTGATACCACTGTCGAAACCAACGCAAGGCACATGACCTGCAGATGGGATCGAACCCGGCATACCGGCATTACGAAGCGTTTGCATCGACTAAGCCATACAAACAAATTATTTCTTTCCTTTGACCACTACAAGTGGTTGGGGTGATAATGACACAGAGGGCACTGTGACGTAATAATGAAAACACACAACCTCTCGGTAACAGCATAAGTTTTAAAAATAACTTTCTACCTTAACTAATATCTAGATACATTTTTTGGGTAAATATGATCATCTGGTTTGGCGATACCAAAGCAATCAAAATTAAATATTTGACCAAACAGATCTGAACAAGTGTGTATGGCCTGTCAATGATGTCACAACTATCCACAATACCACTGGCAGAAACAACTTCCCTGATTAAATGAGTCAGTCACCAGAAGGTAAGAAAAGCACATCACACCAGAAGTAACCAGTCACCAGAAGGCAAGGAAAGCACATCACACCAGAAGTAACCAGTCACCAGAAGGCAAGGAAAGCACATCACACCAGAAGTAACCAGTCACCAGAAGGCAAGGAAAGCACATCACACCAGAAGTAACCAGTCACCAGAAGGCAAGGAAAGCACATCACACCAGAAGTAATCAGTCACCAGATGGTAAGGAAAGCACATCATACCAGAAGTAATCAGTCACCAGATGGTAAGGAAAGCACATCATACCAGAAGTAACCAGTCACCAGAAGGTAAGGAAAGCACATCATACCAGAAGTAATCAGTCACCAGATGGTAAGGAAAGCACATCATACCAGAAGTAACCAGTCACCAGAAGGTAAGGAAAGCACATCATACCAGAAGTAATCAGTCACCAGAAGGTAAGGAAAGCACATCATACCAGAAGTAATCAGTCACCAGAAGGTAAGGAAAGAACATCTCACCAGAAGTAATCAGTCACCAGAAGGTAAGGAAAGCACATCACACCAGAAGTAATCAGTCACCAGATGGTAAGGAAAGCACATCATACCAGAAGTAATCAGTCACCAGAAGGTAAGGAAAGCAGGTCACACCAGAAGTAACCAGTCACCAGAAGGTAAGGAAAGCACATCACACCAGAAGTAACCAGTCACCAGAAGGTAAGGAAAGCACATCATACCAGAAGTAACCAGTCACCAGAAGGTAAGGAAAGAATATCACACAAGAAGTAACCAGTCACCAGATGGTAAGGAAAGCACATCACACCAGAAGTAACCAGTCACAATTTGGTGACACAACCGCTACACAATTATTTACTCTAATGCTGGAGATTTCCCTGACATGCCACAGGTGAAACATGCAAGTACTTTGTGACCTCACTGGTCAGACAGTCCAGCAAATTTGAACCAAACAGTCATATTTCTTTTAACATCATGTGGGCATCATGATTCACTGTCTTATCTTCTGGCTGCTTTTGCCTCATATTAATCTAGCCTTCAAACAATATTTCTGCTTACAATTTGTATACTGGCCACTACTAGCTTCCTGAGACAACCTCTATTGAATTAAAAAACATGATTCCAAGAAATGAAACAATACTAAAGCCTCAGAGAGACAATCACACAGTATCAGCTTATCTCGGCCAAGCTGTCCAGTTTCTGTAGAGTTCTGACCACTGACTCAACACTCTCCCGCACATCCTGAAACACGGGCACCCCCTCTCTGCTAGCCATATCGCTGAGATAGATGCGACCCCGGTTGTAATCTGTCATTGCCCTCTCCGTCATCTGCAACATGTGGCAGACAATATCACAACTACTGTGCTTATTCTCAAGTACACTGCAGGCAAATCATTCAGTGCTCAGTCTTTCAAGAACATTAACATTTGCTGCATTACATTTACTGTGGGAGCCACAATGGTGCTTGGGCAGGACTCTCACCTGCAGAAGCAAAAGGTCATGGCTGGAACATGACAGATCCAGACTTTAAAAAAAAAATGATATTAGGTGCCAGGTTGTCCCAGGGTACCAGGTGAAGTCCTGGGAAGTAAAGGTGCCAGGTTGTCCCAGGGTACCAGGTAAAGTCCTGGGAAGTAAAGGTGCCAGGTTGTCCCAGGGTACCAGGTAAAGTCCTGGGAAGTAAAGGTGCCAGGTTGTCCCAGGGTACCAGGTAAAGTTCTGGGAAGTAAAGGTGCCAGGTTGTCCCAGGGTACCAGGTAAAGTCCTGGGAAGTAAAGGTGCCAGGTTGTCCCAGGGTACCAGGTAAAGTCCTGGGAAGTAAAGGTGCCAGGTTGACCCAGGGTACCAGGTAAAGTCCTGGGAAGTAAAGGTGCCAGGTTGACCCTGCCTGAAATGGTAACCAGGTAAAGTCCTGGGAAGTAAAGGTGCCAGGTTGACCCAGGGTACCAGGTAAAGTCCTGGGAAGTAAAGGTGCCAGGTCGACCCAGCCTGAAATGGTAACCAGGTAAAGTCCTGGGAAGTAAAGGTGCCAGGTTGTCCCAGGGTACCAGGTAAAGTCCTGGGAAGTAAAGGTGCCAGGTTGACCCAGGGTACCAGGTAAAGTCCTGGGAAGTAAAGGTGCTAGGTTGACCCAGGGTACCAGGTAAAGTCCTGGGAAGTAAAGGTGCCAGGTTGACCCAGGGTACCAGGTAAAGTCCTGGGAAGTAAAGGTGCCAGGTTGTCCCAGGGTACCAGGTAAAGTCCTGGGAAGTAAAGGTGCCAGGTTGACCCTGCCTGAAATGGTAACCAGGTAAAGTCCTGGGAAGTAAAGGTGCCAGGTTGTCCCAGGGTACCAGGTAAAGTCCTGGGAAGTAAAGGTGCCAGGTTGACCCAGGGTACCAGGTAAAGTCCTGGGAAGTAAAGGTGGCAGGGGAATGTTGACTACATCACACACTGAACACTGAATGGTCTAGTCTATAAGATATAGGCCTAGCTCTATATGCCCAATCGTAAAAATATGGGTGCTCTTCCCATATGCCCGATCTTTCCTTACTTTACTCTATATGCCCAATAGACCTGAAGGTGCGGAAAAAGTCCTTCATTCACAATAATTGTGCATATGCATGTACCAACAACGCGCAGCTTTCCCATGTATAAAAGACACAAATATTCAACCTGAAAGCTACAGCTCAGTGTTTTATCAAGCACTCAACTCAGCAGCTGAGTGATGGAACCTTTGGACTTCCAGTCCACAAATGGGGACTTTGCAGTAAAAAAAACTTCAAAGCGTCAACTGCCAGCCGGCTATCTGCCTGTAGACCAGGATGTTTGAGGTTTGATTCTGTACAAACTAAAACAAAGAAGACAACAGACACATGACCTACCTGCTCCCCCTCGACGGCTTTATCAGGCTGTAAAGTCTCCAGACACAGGACTACACGGCAACCACAACCAATATAGTAGCCAGCCTGGAGAAGTCACAATGATTACTGTCTGTTGCCATGTATGAGACACTCCCAAGATGACACTCATTTCTTTTTTTTAAAAACCGAATGAGTAATAAATATTTTTAAAAATTTCCGTATATAAAGATGGCACCAATTTTAAATTATAATTTTGGAAAATATAACATCTTACATATGGAAAAATGCGGTGTATCGGAATCAGTTTTGTTTTTACAAGTTCATTTTTACAGCAATGACGACTGCAGTTATCAGGAGGAAGACCTTGGAGCACGTGGATCGAGAACATCAACAACACCTAACAACTACACAGGTTCACATTAGGCAGTGTTACACAACTGTTCTTGTGATAAGGTCTCAACCTGCATAAGAGAACACACACAAACAGTTCTACTGGTTCAACAGTAGTGAAGTTAGTTGTGTTTCCTTGACAGGATGTTGCAGAACTATTCCAGCATTTTTTGCTGTTGTGGTTTTTCTAAGCAAATTTACGTCCAGTAGTTTGCCACTGCTTTCTGGATGGTTTTCTTCTCGATACCATTGTTGAAACCAATGCAAGGTGCAAGGATCAAACCCAGTACCCCGGCATTACGAAGCCCGCTCGCAACACCTAAGCCACAGACCCCGACTCAACAGTGGACAAACTTTATTTATTTATTATTTATTTACTAAGAGTCAAATACTGGACACGCAGGCCCGTCTTCAACTCGACCTTTTCAAACACAAGAGAAGTCAAGACTGTCTCAAAGGTTTACAATGATTACAAAAGAATGTGCTATAAAGGTAATATTTCTTAATATCATTTTTCTATGTTACCATTCAAGATAAGTCTATGCTATACTGATAATATTTCTTACTGTCACTTTTTTTAAAAACCATTCAAGATAAGTCTGTGATATACTGGTAACATTTCATAATGTCATTTTTTCTGCTTTGCCTTTCAAAATAAGTTGATGCTATAAAATGGAATTTCTTACGTATCAAACAGTGAAGGTTTAGAGTATCTGCATGAGAAGTGAGGAACCAACAGTCTGCATACATGTAAACTAAATCTATTAAGCCGACTAAGTTCTGAAACAAGGCTAAAGTGCAGAAGCAGAGGAACACCGAGAGCTTTCCAGCAGAGTTCACATCTGGCAAAGACTGAAGAGAATAAGATAATGACAGTCAAGCTAACATGTGGTTCACTATTCCAGCAGAGTTCACATCTGGCAAAGACTCAAGAGAATAAGATAATGACAGTCAAGCTAACATGTGGTTCACTATTCCAGCAGAGTTCACATCTGGCAAAGACTCAAGAGAATAAGATAATGACAGTCAAGCTAACATGTGGTTCACTATTCCAGCAGAGTTCACATCTGGCAAAGACTGAAGAGAATAAGATAATGACAGTCAAGCTAACATGTGGTTCACTATTCCAGCAGAGTTCACATCTGGCAAAGACTGAAGAGAATAAGGTAATGACAGTCAAGCTAACATGTGATTCACTATTCCAGCAGAGTTCACATCTGGCAAAGACTAAAGAGAATAAGATAATGACAGTCAAGCTAACATCTGGTTCACTATTCCAGCAGAGTTCACATCTGGTAAAGACTGAAGAGAATAAGATAATGACAGTCAAGCTAACATGTGGTTCACTATTCCAGCAGAGTTCACATCTGTTAAAGACTCAAGAGAATAAGATAATGACAGTCAAGCTAACATCTGGTTCACTATTCCAGCAGAGTTCACATCTGGCAAAGACTCAAGAGAATAAGATAATGACAGTCAAGCTAACATGTGATTCACTATTCCAGCAGAGTTCACATCTGGTAAAGACTAAAGAGAATAAGATAATGACAGTCAAGCTAACATGTGGTTCACTATTCCAGCAAAGTTCACATCTGGTAAAGACTCAAGAGAATAAGATAATGACAGTCAAGCTAACATGTGGTTCACTATTCCAGCAGAGTTCACATCTGGCAAAGACTGAAGAGAATAAGATAATGACAGTCAAGCTAACATCTGGTTCACTATTCCAGCAGAGTTCACATCTGTTAAAGACTCAAGAGAATAAGATAATGACAGTCAAGCTAACATCTGGTTCACTATTCCAGCAGAGTTCACATCTGGCAAAGACTGAAGAGAATAAGATAATGACAGTCAAGCTAACATGTGATTCACTATTCCAGCAGAGTTCACATCTGGCAAAGACTGAAGAGAATAGGATAATGACAGTCAAGCTAACATGTGGTTCACTATTCCAGCAGAGTTCACATCTGATAAAGACTAAAGAGAATAAGATAATGACAGTCAAGCTAACATGTGGTTCACTATTCCAGCAGAGTTCACATCTGGCAAAGACTGAAGAGAATAAGATAATGACAGTCAAGCTAACATGTGATTCACTATTCCAGCAGAGTTCACATCTGGCAAAGACTAAAGAGAATAAGATAATGACAGTCAAGCTAACATCTGGTTCACTATTCCAGCAGAGTTCACATCTGGCAAAGACTCAAGAGAATAAGATAATGACAGTCAAGCTAACATGTGGTTCACTATTCCAGCAGAGTTCACATCTGGCAAAGACTCAAGAGAATAAGATAATGACAGTCAAGCTAACATGTGGTTCACTATTCCAGCAGAGTTCACATCTGGCAAAGACTGAAGAGAATAAGATAATGACAGTCAAGCTAACATGTGATTCACTATTCCAGCAGAGTTCACATCTGGCAAAGACTAAAGAGAATAAGATAATGACAGTCAAGCTAACATCTGGTTCACTATTCCAGCAGAGTTCACATCTGGTAAAGACTGAAGAGAATAAGATAATGACAGTCAAGCTAACATGTGGTTCACTATTCCAGCAGAGTTCACATCTGTTAAAGACTCAAGAGAATAAGATAATGACAGTCAAGCTAACATGTGGTTCACTATTCCAGCAGAGTTCACATCTGGTAAAGACTCAAGAGAATAAGATAATGACAGTCAAGCTAACATGTGGTTCACTATTCCAGCAGAGTTCACATCTGGTAAAGACTCAAGAGGATAAGATAATGACAGTCAAGCTAACATGTGGTTCACTATTCCAGCAGAGTTCACATCTGGCAAAGACTGAAGAGAATAAGATAATGACAGTCAAGCTAACATGTGATTCACTATTCCAGCAGAGTTCACATCTGGCAAAGACTGAAGAGAATAAGATAATGACAGTCAAGCTAACATGTGGTTCACTATTCCAGCAGAGTTCACATCTGGCAAAGACTCAAGAGAATAAGATAATGACAGTCAAGCTAACATGTGATTCACTATTCCAGCAGAGTTCACATCTGGTAAAGACTAAAGAGAATAAGATAATGACAGTCAAGCTAACATCTGGTTCACTATTCCAGCAGAGTTCACATCTGGCAAAGACTCAAGAGAATAAGATAATGACAGTCAAGCTAACATGTGATTCACTATTCCAGCAGAGTTCACATCTGGTAAAGACTAAAGAGAATAAGATAATGACAGTCAAGCTAACATGTGGTTCACTATTCCAGCAAAGTTCACATCTGGCAAAGACTGAAGAGAATAAGATAATGACAGTCAAGCTAACATGTGGTTCACTATTCCAGCAGAGTTCACATCTGGCAAAGACTGAAGAGAATAAGATAATGACAGTCAAGCTAACATGTGGTTCACTAACCTCAACCATGGCTCCAATAGCCCTTGTGCAGTCTGTGATGACAAACAGCAGCAGACGACATTTCTCACGTTCTGCAGCCTGCATGGGAATCAAATGGTCACTCCATTTGGTCACCAAGGGGTTTAGGTATGAGACTCCTTCTCGCCTGGAGGAGACAGGGGGCAATTAGTTTGTGAATAAAAAGTTCAAAGTAATTTCATAGGATATACACCTGTTTTCTACCTGCAGTGTGAGCACATGTCTCCAGCGCTGACCCGGACTCATAAGATTCTTCTGGGGCCTAAAGTTACCAGCATGTTACATGTCACATCAGCCACTCAGTGCTGTTTGGCTACTAATGTACTGGTCTGGCATCCAGTCTCCAGTATAACACAATGACTTGGAAACCAAGTTCTCTACCCTTACAACTTGGGAGAGTGATGTTGTAAATTTAATCATTCAAGACAAAATGAGAAATGATGCTATCAGACAGACCCTGGGAATAACATCAGTGGCCAATTTAATCACTGAGAAACAGAAGATCAAATGGTTTGGTCATCTAGTTAGAATGCAGTCAGAACAACTACCAACGCAGGTGTTACATATAAAAAGATCTGTTGTGAAATCAAGAGGCTGCCCTAGGAAAATATGGACTGATGACACTAATGAGCTTCTAGATCATGACAATAGCCATTGCTGGCTGTCAATGGATTGGAAACTGTTCCTCTCCAAGTTGCTTAATGGCAAAAGTAGAAATTGATGATGATGATGTTTCAACAACAAAAATCATCAAATTGTGAAATTTATTTTTAAGTCTTCCCTAAAAAAAACTATCATCATCATCACCAGGTAGCTTATCCCACACAGTACTTTGTCTCTTAAATCTTTCACAATTTCTCTCAATCATAAGCCAAACATGCTACTGATGCTACTGTCATGTGTAAATTATTTGCCACATCTTCAATCCATTTACACTGACTGGTCTTTCTCTTTTCTGATTTTTGGGGAAACCTTGCCTGGGATTCTCTTCTTCAGTCATGAGGCGGGGTTTTGGGAAATGAACAGGCAGAAAGATTGGCTGGTGCATGGCACCTGGTGAACTGATGCATGCCAAGGCAGATGTGGTTTAGTCCCCTTTGGAGTAAGTGAACAATGAAGCAACGTGAATGCATAATTAGGCTGTGGACAGAGTGATATAGCTGGGAGTGACCACCAGACGGAGAAAGCAAAGAAGAACATACAAAACTACTAAGAATACTATTAGCATTCAAAACTACTTCCAATACTATCAGAGTTGGAACTCTTTACTGGCTGCTGAAGATGGGGATGGAGCACATACAGAAATGTCCCAAATGCTGGTTCTTAACTGCAGTCAAACTCTGCAGACTTCATGCCACTTTACATGCCCACGACACTTCATTTTCTTGTTTTTGTGTCAGTAATTAATCTTCTTCAACACTGAACTCTTGTTGGATAGGTGTATTTCTTCTGTCTTTATTTATAATTAAACTTAATATTTTTTTTGTTTTTGTGTCTTCAAAACTGTTGTATTTATACAAATACATAGTGATAACAATTTGGCATATTGTCTGAACTTCTTCTTCTTCATGTTTACCAGTTGTAAACTCTGGCAGAAAGTTCTGGCTGTTTGTCCACTTGTGGACTTGAGTCTGGTTTAAAACTCGAGCTTTGTGTGCACACCCGTTTTACAAATCTGACAGCTGTATCAACCAGAAAACTGGAATACAAATACTTACCTCAGTAGAGGAATAGCGATTTCCTCACGCCAGTTGGAGACTCCACAGCTACCTCCGAGATACACGTCATAAACCTCCTCTATGACTTCCGCCTCCTGAACCTCACCTTTCAGTTTGCCTGGATTAGCAGAAACAAATTAGCAAGAGAAATACTTGGAGACCCCTCAAATCCTACCACAGAACAGGTGAAAATTACTTGGAGACCCCTCAAATCCTACCACAGAACAGGTGAAAATTACTTGGAGACCCCTCAAATCCTACCACAGAACAGGTGTAAAATACTTGGAGACCCCTAAAATCCTACCACAGAACAGGTAAAAATTACTTGGAGACCCCTAAAATCCTACCACAGAACAGGTGTAAAATACTTGGAGACCCCTCAAATCCTACCGCAGAACAGGTGTAAAATGTTTGGAGACCCCTCAAATCCTACCACAGAACAGGTGTAAAATACTTGGAGACCCCTCAAATCCTACCACAGAACAGGTGTAAAATACTTGGAGACCCCTCAAATCCTACCACAGAACAGGTGTAAAATACTTGGAGACCCCTCAAATCCTACCACAGAACAGGTGTAAAATGCTTGGAGACACATCAAAGCCTATCACAGAACAGGTGTAAAACGCTTGGAGACCTCTCAAATCCTACCACAGAACAGGTGTAAAATGCTTGGAGACCCCTCAAATCCTACCACAGAACAGGTGTAAAATACTTGGAGACCCCTCAAATCCTACCACAGAACAGGGGTAAAATACTTGGAGATCCCTCAAATCCTACCATAGAACAGGTGTAAAATGCTTGGAGACACATCAAAGCCTATCACAGAACAGGTGTAAAACGCTTGGAGACCTCTCAAATCCTACCACAGAACAGGTGTAAAATGCTTGGAGACACATCAAAGCCTATCACAGAACAGGTGTAAAACGCTTGGAGACCTCTCAAATCCTAACATAGAACAGGTGTTTCAATTCATTACAGATAATGAATATGGCTACAGCAGAAGAAAAAAAATAACTCTATCGTCATCATCATCATCATTATATGCCCTGCTGATGAATGCCAGTGGTAACTGTTTACTACCTTACATGATAACCATTCTTAGATCAAGCCCGTGTTTCTATGCCAATTATGCCAGCTAATGTTGAATGCTGAATTCAGAATCAACACCACAGCACTCAGGACACTCCCATAAGCGCTCCATCCCATCTTCAGCAGCAAGCAAAGAGTTCCAATTCTGATGGTACTAGTAACTGTCTGATTGTATATACGTCTCGTCTTTCCCTTGAGTGTTGAGCGTCAGCTAGATCCCCTGGTAATTTCTCACAGAACCTTCTCCTCAGACCATAATGATATATATATTTATGCCTCCGCACTGTTCACTTGATCCCAAAGGCTCCTCACAAAATTTGGCTTATCCTACATCAATTCGTCACCAAGTGGTGCTGAGCCAGCCAGTCTACCTGCCTGTTCATTTCACAGAACACCATTATACCAGCCAAACAAACCAACAGCTGAGCGCCTGTTATTGCAAGTGGCTAGCTATTCTGCACAGAGACACTCGGCTATATCGGATAACCCGCGGTTCCAAAGTCAATCTTCTCAAATGTAATTAATTTTATTAACTTTATGTGATCCTCAGTCTCTGATCAGGCCTGTGTTCCTATCCTATTTATGCCAATTAAATCAAGCAAAACAGCTGAGAATCTGTTACAGCAAGACTGTCCTGTTCCCTGTAAATTGCGCTCACCAAGCCAAGCGACTCAAAGCTGTAGCAACTCAATGACTCAAAACTGTAGCAACTCAATGACTCAAAACTGTAGCAACTCAATGACTCAAAACTGTAGCAACTCAATGACTCAAAACTGTAGCAACTCAATGACTCAAAACTGTAGCAACTCAATGACTCAAAACTGTAGCAACTCAATGACTCAAAACTGTAGCAACTCAATGACTCAAAACTGTAGCAACTCAATGACTCAAAACTGTAGCAACTCAATGACTCAAAACTGTAGCAACTCAATGACTCAAAGCTGTAGCAACTCAATGACTCAAAACTGTAGCAACTCAATGACTCAAAACTGTAGCAACTCAATGACTCAAAGCTGTAGCAGCTCAATGACTCAAAGCTGTAGCAACTCAATGACTCAAAACTGTAGCAACTCACTGACTCAAAGCTGTAGCAACTCAATGACTCAAAACTGTAGCAACTCACTGACTCAAAGCTGTAGCAACTCAATGACTCAAAACTGTAGCAACTCAATGACTCAAAACTGTAGCAACTCAATGACTCAAAACTGTAGCAACTCAATGACTCAAAACTGTAGCAACTCAATGACTCAAAACTGTAGCAACTCAATGACTCAAAACTGTAGCAACTCAATGACTCAAAACTGTAGCAACTCAATGACTCAAAGCTGTAGCAACTCAATGACTCAAAGCTGTAGCAACTCAATGACTCAAAACTGTAGCAACTCAATGACTCAAAACTGTAGCAACTCAATGACTCAAAACTGTAGCAACTCAATGACTCAAAACTGTAGCAACTCAATGACTCAAAACTGTAGCAACTCAATGACTCAAAACTGTAGCAACTCAATGACTCAAAACTGTAGCAACTCAATGACTCAAAACTGTAGCAACTCAATGACTCAAAGCTGTAGCAACTTAGAGTCATGACGACCGCAGTCAAGCTGTTATTTAAAAAACAAACCAAAAAAACAATAACCAAAACAAAACAAAACTACAACAAACAATCAACCAAATGACATCAAAAACAACAACAAAACTGTTAAGGGGATTCCTGTTCTGGTGCTAATGGATAAAGGCGTCAGCTGAAGTGTTCAATTGTTTCTGTGCATGTTTCTTCTGCCCTTCTTGTTCGGCTTCCTTGAGATTTTTCAGTGAATACAGGAAATAAAGAGGAATGCTTAAATAGTCGAGCTGGTCTTAAGATCTTGTCTGACAAGAAAAAAGATAAACATGTAGAAGGAAGAGCAGGAAGATGAACAAGTAGGAGAAAAAAGAAAAAGGAAGCAGGAGAGTGAGAAAAAAAAAACCAGAGGCAAAAGCTGATATAAGGTTGTCATGGAGATATGAAACACACAAAATGACCAGGCTTACAACTGTTAGAGCTTACCTAACAACCATGTGAAAGGTGCTGACAGTCTGGTCACCAACATGTTGACAACTGAAGGTTTCTGTTGGTAGAACATATCTGACATGAATGACACACGGCAGCCTTGTCATACCCTCTATATGACATTTGTCTATAACATAACATGCTAGACAGTTTCATATTATTATCCTCATCATCTTCTCCTCCTCCTCCTCCTCCTCGGTCTGTGTTTGCCCTTTAAAACAATGGCCCGCATGTTGTGCAGTGGGTTGGCTGTGTTGTGGTGGGTTGACTGTGTTGTGCAGTGGGTTGACTGTGTTGTGGTGGGTTGACTGTGTTGTGGTGGGTTGACTGTGTTGTGGTGGGTTGACTGTGTTGTGTGGTGGGTTGACTGTGTTGTGGTGGGTTGACTGTGTTGTGGTGGGTTGACTGTGTTGTGGTGGGTTGACTGTGTTGTGGTGGGTTGACTGTGTTGTAGTGGGTTGACTGTGTTGTGCAGTGGGTTGACTGTGTTGTGCAGTGGGTTGACTGTGTTGTGGTGGGTTGACTGTGTTGTGCAGTGGGTTGACTGTGTTGTGGTGGATTGACTGTGTTGTGGTGGGTTGACTGTGTTGTGGTGGGTTGACTGTGTTGTGGTGGGTTGACTGTGTTGTGCAGTGGGTTGACTGTGTTGTGCAGTGGGTTGACTGTGTTGTGGTGGGTTGACTGTGTTGTGCAGTGGGTTGACTGTGCTGTGGTGGGTTGACTGTGTTGTGCAGTGGGTTGACTGTGTTGTGGTGGGTTGACTGTGTGTGTGGTGGGTTGACTGTGTTGTGCAGTGGGTTGACTGTGTTGTGCAGTGGGTTGACTGTGTTGTGGTGGGTTGACTGTGTTGTGGTGGGTTGACTGTGTTGTGGTGGGTTGACTGTGTTGTGGTGGGTTGACTGTGTTGTGGTGGGTTGACTGTGTTGTGGTGGGTTGACTGTGTTGTGCAGTGGGTTGACTGTGTTGTGCAGTAGGTTGACTGTGTTGTGGTGGGTTGACTGTGTTGTGCAGTGGGTTGACTGTGTTGTGGTGGGTTGACTGTGTTGTGGTGGGTTGACTGTGTTGTGGTGGGTTGACTGTGTTGTGGTGGGTTGACTGTGTTGTGGTGGGTTGACTGTGTTGTGCAGTGGGTTGACTGTGTTGTGCAGTGGGTTGACTGTGTTGTGGTGGGTTGACTGTGTTGTGCAGTGGGTTGACTGTGCTGTGGTGGGTTGACTGTGTTGTGCAGTGGGTTGACTGTGTTGTGGTGGGTTGACTGTGTTGTGGTGGGTTGACTGTGTGTGTGGTGGGTTGGCTGTGTTGTGCAGTGGGTTGACTGTGTTGTGGTGGGTTGACTGTGTTGTGGTGGGTTGACTGTGTTGTGCAGTGGGTTGACTGTGTTGTGGTGGGTTGACTGTGTTGTGGTGGGTTGACTGTGTTGTGGTGGGTTGACTGTGTTGTGGTGGGTTGACTGTGTTGTGGTGGGTTGACTGTGTTGTGGTGGGTTGACTGTGTTGTGCAGTGGGTTGACTGTGTTGTGCAGTGGGTTGACTGTGTTGTGCAGTGGGTTGACTGTGTTGTGGTGGGTTGACTGTGTTGTGGTGGGTTGACTGTGTTGTGGTGGGTTGACTGTGTTGTGGTGGGTTGACTGTGTTGTGGTGGGTGACTGTGTTGTGGTGGGTTGACTGTGTTGTGGTGGGTTGACTGTGTTGTGGTGGGTTGACTGTGTGTTGTGGTGGGTTGACTGTGTTGTGTGGTGGGTTTGACTGTGTGTGTGGTGGGTTGACTGTGTTGTGGTGGGTTGACTGTGTTGTGGTGGGTTGACTGTGTTGTGGTGGGTTGACTGTGTTGTGGTGGTGGGTTGACTGTGTGTGCAGTGTGCAGTGGGTTGACTGTGTGTTGTGACTGTGTTGTGGGTTGACTGTGTTGTGTGGGTGACTGTGTTGTGGTGGGTTGACTGTGTTGTGGTGGGTTGACTGTGTTGTGCAGTGGGTTGACTGTGTTGTGCAGTGGGTTGACTGTGTTGTGCAGTGGGTTGACTGTGTTGTGGTGGGTTGACTGTGTTGTGGTGGGTTGACTGTGTTGTGGTGGGTTGACTGTGTGTGGTGGGTTGACTGTGTTGTGGTGGGTTGACTGTGTTGTGGTGGGTTGACTGTGTTGTGGTGGGTTGACTGTGTTGTGGTGGTTGACTGTGTTGTGGTGGGTTGACTGTGTTGGTGGGTTGACTGTGTTGTGACTGTGTTGTGGGTTGACTGTGTTGTGGTGGGTTGACTGTGTTGTGCAGTGGGTTGACTGTGTTGTGGTGGGTTGACTGTGTTGTGCAGTGGGTTGACTGTGTTGTGGTGGGTTGACTGTGTTGTGGTGGGTTGACTGTGTTGTGGTGGGTTGACTGTGTTGTGGTGGGTTGACTGTGGTGTGGTGGGTTGACTGTGTTGTGGTGGGTTCGCTGTGTTGTGGTGGGTTGACTGTGTTGTGCAGTGGGTTGACTGTGTTGTGGTGGGTTGACTGTGTTGTGCAGTGGGTTGACTGTGTTGTGCAGTGGGTTGACTGTGTTGTGGTGGGTTGACTGTGTTGTGGTGGGTTGACTGTGTTGTGGTGGGTTGACTGTGTTGTGGTGGGTTGACTGTGTTGTGGTGGGTTGACTGTGTTGTGGTGGGTTGACTGTGTTGTGGTGGGTTGACTGTGTTGTGGTGGGTTGACTGTGTTGTGCAGTGGGTTGACTGTGTTGTGGTGGGTTGACTGTGTTGTGGTGGGTTGACTGTGTTGTGGTGGGTTGACTGTGTTGTGGTGGGTTGACTGTGTTGTGGTGGGTTGACTGTGTTGTGCAGTGGGTTGACTGTGTTGTGGTGGGTTGACTGTGTTGTGGTGGGTTGACTGTGTTGTGGTGGGTTGACTGTGTTGTGGTGGGTTGACTGTGTTGTGGTGGGTTGACTGTGTTGTGCAGTGGGTTGACTGTGTTGTGGTGGGTTCGCTGTGTTGTGGTGGGTTGACTGTGTTGTGCAGTGGGTTGACTGTGTTGTGGTGGGTTGACTGTGTTGTGGTGGGTTGACTGTGTTGTGGTGGGTTGACTGTGTTGTGGTGGGTTGACTGTGGTGTGGTGGGTTGACTGTGTTGTGGTGGGTTCGCTGTGTTGTGGTGGGTTGATTGTGTTGTGCAGTGGGTTGACTGTGTTGTGGTGGGTTCGCTGTGTTGTGGTGGGTTGACTGTGTTGTGGTGGGTTGACTGTGTTGTGGTGGGTTGACTGTGTTGTGGTGGGTTGACTGTGGTGTGGTGGGTTGACTGTGTTGTGGTGGGTTCGCTGTGTTGTGGTGGCAATGTCTGTCCTTTCAGCCAGCATCTAATTTCAGCACACATCTAATTAGTACAATTTTAGAAAATGCTTGTTGGGGCGTAGTAGGGGGGTCTAGCCAAAGCTGCTAGACTAGACTCTATCCATGATACTGAACTGATGATAGAGCCAAAGCTGCTAGACTAGACTCTATCCATGATACTGAACTGATGATAGAGCCAAAGCTGCTAGACTAGACTCTATCCATGATACTGAACTGATGATAGAGCCAAAGCTGCTAGACTAGACTCTATCCATGATACTGAACTGATGATAGAGCCAAAGCTGCTAGACTAGACTCTATCCATGATACTGAACTGATGATAGAGCCAAAGCTGCTAGACTAGACTCTATCCATGATACTGAACTGATGATAGAGCCAAAGCTGCTAGACTAGACTCTATCCATGATACTGAACTGATCACACAGGACAGAACAAAATAGAGGAACAGACTGTCAACCCTATGTGACATAAATAGCACAAGAGGATAATAAATAAATGAAAGAATGAACAGACCAATGTATCTACTGATCTTCCTGTGCAGCATTAGCAGAAAAAGAATGGTAAACATAAAGATTACAACAAGAGATATACAGTAATATTGCAATAGAATATGGGCCATATGTTTGATTTAATCTGGACTTGTAGTCACAATGACTGCACCACTCACTTTTAGTGGAGTTTGGTAAACCTAAAGTGTAAGGCGAAGTTTGCAATCCACTTCAATCGATGCAACATGTACCAAACCATAACCTACTGCAGAACTGGCGACTGCTGACTCTGACATTGCATTCAAACAAGCCAGAAAAGTGCATACATCATCATCAGGGGAGCTTATTTTGTATTCTTGTTTCCGGAAGTGCTAACCCAGGAAAAAATGCCCTCAGAAGTAGGATGTGTTGGCCGAAAGAGGCAAATATCGCAGGCATTTACGTCTTTGAATGAAAGCAGAAGAAGAGGTATTCCAGTTCACAAGATGTGTTTAGCTTACCCGTCTCTTGTACTCTGTGACTATACAGCAGAACTCTTCAAAGGTGAAGGAACTTTGAGCTGGTCTTTGGTGCTGCAGCCAGGAGAGGCTGAAAGGTTCGCCCGTGTAACATCGGTAGCCCAGACCAATCTGTGACAACAACCATACATGTATCATTTGGCAAAGAACAGAATACCACATCTCAACAACCATACATGTATCATTTGGCAAAGAACAGAATACCACATCTAAACAACCATACACGTATCATTTGGCAAAGAACAGAATACCACATCTAAACAACCATACATGTATCATTTGGCAAAGAACAGAATACCACATCTAAACAACCATACATGTATCATTTGGCAAAGAACAGAATACCACATCTAAACAACCTTACATGTATCATTTGGCAAAGAAAAGAATACCACATCTCAACAACTATACATGTATCATTTGGCAAAGAACAGAATACCACATCTAAACAACCATACACATATCATTTGGCAAAGAACAGAATACCACATCTCAACAACTATACATGTATCATTTGGCAAAGAACAGAATACCACATCTAAACAACCATACATGTATCATTTGGCAAAGAACAGAATACCACATCTAAACAACCATACATGTATCATTTGGCAAAGAACAGAATACCACATCTAAACAACCATACATGTATCATTTGGCAAAGAACAGAATACCACATCTAAACAACCATACACGTATCATTTGGCAAAGAACAGAATACCACATCTCAACAACTATACA